CGTTGGGTATCGTGAAAACGTGCCCATGCTCCACATGTCTATATCCCTTTCCGGGTTCGTGGGTCCATCATGTTCCCGGAAAGGGCTCGAGCCCAGGGTTCTCTTTTAGTTGGTAAACCTAATCCCCCGGTGCCAACTTGAAGGAGGCCGGCGAATTTTTTCCCTGATAAATATCGAGGTCGAAGGAGGCCGGCGAATTAAAATTTGAGGATGTCTCGAGCGAAACGCTTGTTTTTGAAATCCCGATCGATAAATCACAGGGTGCGGGCCACTTTTTCGTGTGTTGAGGATGTCTCGAGCGAAACGCTTGCTCCGCAGAGTTTGCCGAGGATGTCTCGAGCGAAACGCTTGTTTTGCAGAGCCGACCGCGACGCGGAAAAGCGCCCCGCGCGAAGGAATTTCGATGATTTCTCGACTAATTCCTTTGTTTTTGTACGATTTCCTGGAATTTTGGCAGGATGTCTCGAGCGAAATGCACGACCCCACCCTAGCACGACCATACCCCAGCACGACCAACACCCCAGCACGACCAGACCCCAGCACGACCCCACCCCAGCACGACCCCACCCCAGCACGACCATACCCCAGCACGACCACACCCCAGCACGACCCGACCCCAGCACGACCTACCCCAGCAAGACCACACCCCAGCACGACCACACCCCAGCACGACCTCACCACAGCACGACCACACCCCAGCACGACCACGCCCCAGCACGACCACGCCCCAGCACGACCACGCCCCAGCACGACCACCCCCCAGCACGACCACCCCCCAGCACGACCACCCCCCAGCACGACCACCCCCCAGCACGACCACACCCCAGCACGACCACTCCCCAGCACGACCACACCCCAGCACGACCACACCCCTGCACGACCACACCCAGTCGCACCCCCGTGGAATGTTTCGTGGCGTGTCTGGTTGAGTGGTTGCCTGTTCGTGGGGTGTCTCGTGGAATGTTTCACGGGGTGTCTCGTGGAATGTTTCGTGAGGTGTCTCGTGGAATGTTTCGTGAGGTGTCTCGTGGGATGTTTCGCGGGGTGTCTCGTGGGATGTTTCGTGAGATGTCGCCCAGTTGGGTATCGTGAAAACGTGACCATGCTGCACATGTCTTTATCCCTTTCCGGGTTCGTGGGTCCATCATGTTCTCTCTTCTCCCTCTCTCTCTCTTTCTGAGATGTCGCCCAGTTGGGTATCGTGAAAACGTGACCATGCTGCACATGTCTTTATCCCTTTCCGGGTTCGTGGGTCCATCATGTTCTCTCTTCTCCCTCTCTCTCTCTTTCTCTACCTCTCTTTTTTTCCCCGGAAAGGGCTTCAGGCCCAGGGTTCTCTTTTAGAGGTTTCCCCCCGGTTTTGACGGGAAGAGGGCCGGCTGATTTCTTTTGCGATAAATAACGAGTGGGAAGAGGGCCGGCGAATTAAAATTTCAGGATGTCCCTAGCGAAACGCTTGTTTTTCAGAATTTGTTGAGGATGTCTCGAGCGAAACGCTGAGGATCTCTCAAGTGGATTGCTTGTTTTCACGTGTCCTGGTCTTGAGGATGTCTCGAGCGAGACGATTGGTTTCACGCCTCCAGGTGGCCCAGACAGATGTCTAGCATGAGGATTCGTTGAGGATGTCTCGAACCAGAGGCTTGTTTTCACGTGTCCAGGTCGCCCAGGCGGATGTCTAGCATGAGCATTTGTTGAGGATGTCTCGAGCGAGACGCTTGTTTGCACGTGTCCAGGTTGCCCAGGCGGATGTCTAGCATGAGGATGTGCTGACAACGTCTTGAGCGAAACGCGGTTTTCACGTGTCCAGGTCGCCCAGGCACAGCTTAGCCCTCGGCACGGTACATCAATATCGATACCCTTAGCATTGCAGCCTGGCATGTTGCCTGGCACGTTCCGCGGAGCGTCCCGTGGCGAGTCCCCCTGGCACGTCGCGCGGTGCACGTCCATTGGCACGTTCCGTAGCGCGTCCCCTTTGCACGTCCCGCGGGGCGTCCCCATGGCACGTCCCCTGGCACGTCGCCTGGCGCGTCCCTTGGGACGTTCCGCCGCGCGTCCTGTTGGCGTGTTCCCTCTGTCGATTAGTTATGGGGCAGCTACCATCTGCTCAGGCAGCTCGAGCTTACGCTCCAGATCAGTTCGGTGAGGACTCGGATGCCAGGGAGGACTCGATCCACAACGCTATATAGAGCACAATCGCGGCATGGCACATCGCAGTTCAGCACAGCCCAGCACAGCACAGGCGTCGGCACGGTACATCAAGATCGATACACTCAACTGTGCACCTTGGCGCGTTCCTTGGCGCCTTCCGTGGCGAGTCCACCTGGCACGTCGCGCAGCGCGTCCCCTGGCACGTCCCTCGGCACGTCCATTGGCACGTTCCGTAGCGCGTCCCCTTGGCACGTCCCGCGGTGCGTCCCCATGGCACGTCCCCCGGCACGTCGCCTGGCGCGTCCCTTGGGACGTTCCGCGGCGCGTCCTCCTGGCATGTTCCCTCTGTCGATTAGTTATGGGGCAGCTACCATCTGCTCAGGCAGCTCGAGCTTCAGATCCAGATCAGTTCGGTGAGGACTCGGATGCCAGGGAGGACTCGATCCACAACGCTATATAGAGCACAATCGCGGCATGGCACATCGCAGTTCAGCACGGCGTAGCACAGCACAGCCCTCGGCACAGTACATCATCATCGATACATTCAGCATTGCATGTGCCCGTCGCCCAATCAGGTGTCTTTGAAATGTTGCACTGCCTTACATTTCTATATTCCTTTCCAGGTTCGTGGGTCGATCATGTTTCTCTCTCTCTCTCTCTCGTTCTGCCTCTAATCCACCGCCCCCCTTTTCGATCCTTCCTTCCGGGCGTTTTCCCTCTTCCTTCGTTCCTCCCCCTCCCTTCCTCCCACTCTCCCTCCTTCTCCCCCTCCTCTTTTTGCAGGGCCCACACCAATGCCAATGGCAGGCACATGTACGCCCACGAAAGATTGTCTGCCCGTTCAGGTTTGCCCGCTTGTCTAAGCCCGCCGCCCCCCGCAAAGAGAACAAATCCCCCCAAAGGGGGTTTGATCGAAAACAAAAAGGGCGGGTATCGAGGGTGTGGGGAATTCATGTTGAATGTCACGCGGGCAAGTAAGAGCGAACAGTCTTAGAATGATTGTTATTGTTGTTGCTGTTGCTGCTGCTGCTGCTGTTGTTGTTGTTGTTGTTGTTGAACATTATTTCTTCTTAAGAATAATTATTGTTGGGACCCCTGGTGCGCGACCCCCCTCCAAAACCTAGGCCGCAGCTACATTTTCATAATTTTTTCGCGAAAGCTTCAGAAAAGTGGATTAGTACCGGATCCGGTTGTTTTGTTGTAGTCCGTTTTCCCTTGCAAAAAACACTATAAAATGAAAATTCTTGTTCTTACTTGATCAAATTGCAAGAATCCCTTGCAAAAAATAAGGTAAAGTGGACATTCGTGCGCGCAAGACGAAATCCTTCCAAAACCTTAGGTTTCGTAGCGATTTTAACATAAAAACATCAAAAACCCAATGGTTTTTTAAGAAAAAATTGTCAAAATGTCCTTCCGCGCGCGCTGTCCGAATCCCACAAAACCAATGGTTTTTCAACATTTATGTTACATGAGCTCGCGCGAGCTACTTTTTCTTGTTCTAACATAATCAAATTTCAATAATCCCTTGCAAAAAATAAGGTAAAGTGGACATTCGCGCGCGCAAGACGAAATCCTTCCAGAACCTTAGGTTTCGTAACGATTTCAACATAAAAACATCAAAAACCCAATGGTTTTTCAAAAAAAAATGTCCAAATTTCATCCCGCGCGCGCTGTCCGACTCCCACAAAACCAATGGTTTTTCAACATTTATGTTACATGAGCTCGCGCGAGCTACTTTTTCTTGTTCTAACATAATCAATATTCCCTTGCAAAAAAAAGTAAAGTGGACATTCGCGCGCGCAAGACCAACAAAAAACACGACGATCTCAGGAACTTGCCCCAAAAATGTGACCAACTCCGCTCTCTCTGTCTCTCTCTCTGTCTGCTCTCTGTCTCTCTCTCTGTCTGTCTGTGTCATGTATTGTATGTCACAATTGCAGGATGCTGGGCACACGCGCGCCCCGAATAAGTGACCAAGTTCTGTGGGTGTGTACCCCACGCCAGTGTAGTAGCCACGGTCGTCCGCACGCCACGAAGTGAAGTGTCCCAACGTCATAGGGCGGGAAGCTGGGTTTGGGTGGTCGCGAAGAGTCGTTTGGATATTTGGTAGAGCTTGAACTGCCCCCCCACGAAGTGGGGGTATTGTCTCGCGTCGCATGAAAACCCTGGCACTGGTGAGAACACTGAGCGTTCGGGTAAAATGATTGTTGTTGTTGTTGTTGTTGTTGTTGCTGCTGCTGCTGCTGCTGCTGCTCTTTTTGTCGCTCTCGTCACCGCGGTTTGTCGTCGTCCTCGTCGTTTTCGTGGCCTTTACCCGTGCTCCCCTTCCTTGTGCTGCTGCTACCACCATTTCTTCAAATCCATTGCCCAAGCCGTCCACGTTACTGCCATCCCCCACGGCGGCCAGACCCCGCCCCCCCTGTCACGGACGTTACGGAAGGAGAATCAATAATGTTCTCTTGTCGGGGGAGGCCTTTGGCCTTTGGTCGGTGGGCCCACGCAGCGCGGATGGAACCCCTGCTTGGGAAGAGAAAGGTGCATTTTCGAACTCCTTAGACCTTCTCCCCCATATGGGCAGTGGACCTTCAGTTCCTGCCTCCCCGAGCAAGTGACCTTTCTTCCACTTTCTGCCTCCCCCGCCTGTTCTGGCAGGACACCGACCCTTGAGACTCGCCGATCTCTGAACTTATCACCAACATTATTTCTTACCAGCCATCCTGTGGTATCGGATCTCGCCTCCTCCTCTTCTCCTCCTCCACGCCCTCCTCCTCCTTCACCTCCTACTCCTCCACCAGCAGCTCCTCCTTCCCTAAACCCCGACAGTAGACCTCCACCTCCGCGCCCCACCCGAGGTGAGCCACGAAGGGGTCATGGTGCGAGGACCCCCGCCGCCCGACGCCCGGCCTTCTCTGGCGCCGCGCCGCTCCGCCAGAGATGCGCACCCACGCGCCGTCCCGCCGCTTGCCCTGGGATGGCGACTTTGTTGAATTTTCATGATTGGGAATGAATATTGTTGATCCCCCCTTTGTGCCCCCTTCATCCTTTCCTTTACTTTTCCTCGGCAGTAGAGAGAAAAGAAGCAGCAGAGCAGGGGGCGCGCGGACGATGAGAATTGTTCAATTGAAGTGCTTCCCCTGGGGCTCGCACCCGATTTTTTCCGGGAAAATCACGGGGCTCAAACTGTGTTGTTGGCCACCGGTTTACTACAACAACAACAACAACAACGGCTCCCGCCTGATATTCCTTCACAATTGTTGCCAAATCGCGCTCTCGCGCGGGACTTCTTCGCAATTTGTATACGAATCGCGGTTTCTCGTGGGATTTCCTCGCAGTGGATTCAGACGATGCGCCCTCGGCGCTCAGGAATCACGCTCTCGCTTTGGCTTTTCTCATGATTTATTTGGGAATCGCGGTATCGCTCGAGACTTCCTCGCGATTCACGCAGGACCCCCCCCACGCTCCAGCAACCCGCCTGCTCGACCTGCCCGCTATGGGTCTGCCCACCCGGTCTGCCCGTCTGGTTTTACCACTTGTTTTCTGCTTGTTGCCCCCCTCCTGCTAATTTCTTTCGTGCTCCATTCTTCTCCCTCTCCCTTCACCCGTCTTCTCTTCCCTTGTTTTAGGGGCTGCACTCAATGCACGTGGCAGGTAAGGAAGATATACCCCCAATGGGGTACGATCGAAGACGACGAGGGCGGGTATCGAGAGTTTGGGACATACATATTGATTGGCACGCGAGCAGATAGGAGCGGACAGTCTTATAATGTTTGTTGTTGCTGCTGCTGTTGGACTCTGAGTATTGAAGAATAATCATTATTGATCCCCCCCTCCGGTGACCATTGTGCTTCTTCAATTGAAGTGCTTTCCCGAGGGTTCGCACCCGGTTTTTGTCAGGAAAGGTCACTGGGCTCAAACTGCGTTGATGGCCTACGGATTACAACAACAACGGCTCCCGCCTGGGACTTCCTTACATTGTAGCCAGGACCCCTGCTCCCGCCTGAGACTTCTTCGCATTTTACTCAGGAGTCGCGCTCTCGCTTGGGACGTCCTTGCGATTTATCCGTAAAGGCTTCGCCCCCATGCCGCCGGCCCCCTTCTCTTAGAATGGGATTTGCCAGAGCTTTGTTGGGATGTCTGGTCGCTGACGTGAAGCAATGTCGGGACTTCAGGCGAGGGCCAATTTTAATTTACGAAGGTTTATTGCTTCGGTGGCACGAATATTAGGTAATTTACATTGGTTTATGTATTCGGGGACGCGAGTATCGCATAATTTACCAGGGTTTATGGCCTCGTGGGCGCACATATCGCGTAAGTTAGAATGGTGTGTGACCTCGGGGGCGCGAATCTTGTGTAATTTGCGAGGGTTTGTGGCTTCGGGGACGCTAGTATGGTATAAGTTGCAAAAGGTTTATGGCCACGGGGACGCGAATATCGTATAATTTTCGAAGGTTTATGGCTTCGGGGGCGCGATCATTCTGTAATCTATGAGGGTTTATGGTTTCGGGGGCGCGAATCTTATGTGTGTTACGAAGGTTTATGGCTTCGGGGACGCGAATATTGAGTCATTTACAAGGGGATTATTGCTTCGGGGGCGCGAGTACGGTGTAATTTGCAGAAGGGTTTATGGCCTGGGGGACTCGAGTATGGTGTAATTTATTCGGGATTGTGGATTCGGGGTCGCGAGTAATTTGTATTTTCTACGTGTTCCACGACCCCCCGAGAATTCAGACAACGCGAGTCGGGGACGCTAAGCAGGACGCTTTTCGGGTCTTCGCCGTCACAAATTCAGGAACAATTGACAATAAAGAAGCAGAAAGCAGGACTGTAGCAGTGGAAACTGGAAAACTGCAACTGGAACAGGAAGCTGCAATCCTCACCCTCGCAGCCTGGTGGCCCCGCAAGGGGGCCGGCGGATTCAGGAATCGCCCTCTCGACGTTTCGGAGTCGCGCTCTTGCAGGAGACTTGCTTGCAATTTACTCGAGAATCGCGCTCTTGCGTTGGAATTTCCCGCAATCTACTCAAGCGCCGCGCTCCCGACACTCAGGCACCCAGGAGTCGCGCTCACGCTTAGGACTGCCTCGCAGCTTGCTTCGGAATCGGGATATCGCTGCCCTTCGTGGACCCGTTGCAGCCCTTCGTGGCCCCCTCGTGGCCCCGTTGCACCCTTTCGTGGCCCCCTCGCTGCCCTTCGTGGCCCCGTTGCTGCCCTCAGTGGTCCTGTCCTTGCCCTCTGCGGCCCAATATACGTTTGCCCTTCGTGTCCCCCGCTCGTTCGTGCCCGTCGTGGCCCCATATGCATGCCCTTCGTGGCCCCGCTGTCGCCCTTTGTGACCCCCTGTGACCCCCTCGCTGTCCTACGTGACCCCGTTGCTACCCTCAGTGGCTCCCTCGTTGCCCTCTGTGGCCCTGCTTATCTGACTTTCGTGGCCCCCCGCTCGTTCGCGCCCTCGGTGGCCGCACACGCATGCCCTTCGTGGCCCCGCTGTCGCCCTTCGTTGCCCCCTTGTCGTCGTCGTCGTCGTCGTCGTCGTCGTCGTCGTCGTCGTAGTCGTCGTCGTAGTCGTCGTGGTCGGTCCCCTGTCCGTCCCTCTTGGGGTCGGGTTGCCGCCGATCAGCGCTGCCGCTGGCCAGGCCGACGGTCCGCGGCCGCCCCGCCGCTTGTCGGGGCCCGGCCTGCAAGGAAGAAAATATACCCCCCAAAAGGGGTACGATCGAAGACGAAGAGGGCAGGTATTTCGAGGGTTTGGGAAATGCGCGTTGCATGACAGACACTCGAGCAGATAAGAGTGATCAGTCTTACAATGTTTGTTGATGTTGTTGATGTTGTGGTTCGTTGCTGTAGCTGCTGCTGCTGCTGCTTTTGTTGTTGTTGCTTTTGTTTTTGTTGTTGTTGTTGTTGTTGTTGTTGTTGTTGTTGTTGGTGTTGGTGTTGTTGTTGCTGCTGATGTTGCTGTTGTTGTTGTTGTTGTTGTTGTTGTTGTTGTTGTTGTTGTTGTGGTTGTTGTCGTTGTTGTTGCTGTTGTGCTGTTTGATGTTGTTTTCGTTGTTGTCTGTTGTTGTTACTGTTGCTGTTGTTCATGTTGTTGTTGTTATTGTTGTTGCTGTTATTGTTGTTGTTTTTATTGTTGTGGTCGTCGTTATTGTTTTTATTGTTGTTGTCGTCGTCGTCGTCGTCGTGGACGTCGTCGTCATCGTCGTCGTTGTCGTCGTGTTCGTCGTTGTTGTTGTTGTTGTTGCTGCTGTTTTTTGGCCAGGGCCCCCGGGCCCCGAGGCCGTCAGAGAGCGGCCCGGGATGGAAAACTAAGCGGGCCTAGGGAAAGGATCGAGAGGTGTGGGTCCTGAGATTCTGGTGTTTTAATTTTTTCGGGACGGGCGTTTTTTCAAGCCCCTGTAAACGGGGTGTTTGTAAACGGGATGTCGCTCAGGGTGCCTTTTCAATTGAGCCTTCGAAAAATTAAGATGCCGCGCGCAAGTGCGAGGTAATCCCCCCCGCCCAGAGTTATGATGACGTGTCGGCGATTTTGTCATCCCGACTTATCACGCACTAGTGCGACGTAAATGCCTTGTCGCCCTGTACTCGCTCGTAGAGGCCACTTAGCTACCATCTCGTTTACTAACACCACGTTTGCAGGGGCTTGGCCCTCACAGATCGATCCGGCTCGAACCATGATGCAGAAAGGTGGGGTCCAGGGCTCAAGGCGTGAATGTTTACGATGTTGCAATTTATCCGAGACGTCGGATCTCAAGGATAGGTTCTATGCCTCCTGGATGGGGTCCGAGTACATGCGGTCGGAGGATCGCGCCGCATCGCCGATGCATCGGCGATGCGGCTCGATGTGGAGCCCGATGTTCTCCACGCTGGCGTCGCCGATGCATCGCCGATTTCGCCGATGCATCGCCGATGCATCGGCGATGTATCGGCGATACGGCGCGAACCTCCGACCCCACCTATTCCGACCTCATCTAAGAGACCTCTAGAGGCGTGGGGGGCCACGCGTTTAACAAAACCCTCAGGCGATCTGTCTCCCCCAGCCCCGGACTTTTTCGACGAAAAATGAAGCCACTCAGAAAAAGCCCGGGGATACAGCCCCAGGGGGCTAATCATTCGGACGCGCCCCTATCGAAGATGGGTGCCCCCCCCCACTGTTATATCCCAGGGTTGGGCGCCAAACTTTCGGTCCTGTGTAAAGCCCTACGAAGCCTGGGATGGGAATCGACATGTCCCCTTTTACAGTTGTCGCCCGCGTATGAGGGGGGAAGGCTTCTCAGAAGCACCCCTGCTCTTTAGAAGGCGCGGGCATTGTCTGTAGACGCAGAACCCGTGCCTGCTGAGAGGCAGCCTCCTTTAAGAAGTGCTCCCCCCTGCCCCGAACCTTGTGTGCGCCGCCAAAGTTGGCGTCCCCCGAGAAGCTTCGGTGCGGGGCGCAGGACCTCCTCGTTGTCGGGACCTAGCGGGGTTTTCCAGGCTTGGGTCTCAGCGCCTCGGGTAGGCACGCGCCAGGTCGGCCAACGCGGGAGAGCCCCATCGGCCGGAGCGTTGGGGGCAACAGCCAGGGCTGGTCGGAGTCCGACTCGTTCTCATCCAATCCCCACTGCTCGATTCCGATCTCGACCCGATCCGAGCCGACACGGACGGGTTCCCTCTCCTTCATCGCCGCACCCGACGGCCCTGGGCTGCCAGCACGTCTCGGGGCAGGCACCGGGCTCGCTCGTCGGCCCAGAGCCGCGTGCCGTCGGGGAGGGGCCCCGTGGGACAGACCTGCAAGGCGAGCACGAGGGTCGGCCACTGCACGTCAGACTGGCCCTTCCCCGGAGGGGCCTCTGGTGGCGCGGCTTTTTTTGGGGGGGGGGCGCGGGGGGGAGGCCCTCACATGCACGCTGGCCAGTGCTGTCGTATCGCGTGCGCTTATCGGCGAAGTCGCCTTGGGTCACTCTTGCAGGTAGCCGAGGGGCTTCCCTCGCTCTTCGACTTGGCCGCGGGGGCGCACTCCAGCGGCGCTGGTCGGGCGGCGGCCAGGGTCGGACCCTCCTCCTCCCACTGGGCATCCAGAGCGGGGCTCTTCGGATTCGCGACGTATGCAGAGCTGGCGATGCTACTCCAGATTTCGTAATAAAAGGGAGGGGGTCTGGACCCTCCAAGACAAGCCATTTCAGACCTCCCCCGTGGGAGAACCCTCCAAAACATCGTCCCCAGACCCCCCAGGCCCTCCAAGATAGCCTGGAAGAGACCCCCCCCGAAATGAGACCACCCTCCCTTTATTACGAAATCTGGAGTAGCCTTCTTTAGGGTGTCAGTGCATTCGATGCGAGCTAGCTGCAGTCTAAAGAGGGCGGTGGCCGTGAGGGCGCCCAAATTAAGCTTCAGCGCCAACACTGGGTATCGCAACGTGCCCCGACCAACTCCTCAGCGACGAAGGAAAGCGGGTCGTCTGCGCCGGCATTCGCGCGTAAGCTGCCCGCGTAAGGTTGCGCGTAAGCGCCCTCGTCTTCAATGGAGCGTGCCGCGCCTGCGGCCCGCGTAAGCCACGGCGTAAGATCTCTATGCCATCTCGCGTAAGACTCGTTTCTTTTCGTCGCCCACCTGCCTGCCGCCCGCCCGAACCGGAAGCCAGCCCATGAGTCGACCAGACGTGAGAGTGACCTTTCCCCAAAGTGACCTGGGGTGCGGGCCCACTGGGGTCCCCCGACCGATGAGCGCAAAGCGGTGGCAGCGGCTTGCGTGCCCAGGTTTAGCCACCCCGCGTCCCCCATTAAGCCGCGCACCAAATTCGAAAAATAAAAATCGCCATAAACAGAAAGTTTTTTGCGCTCCGCGCGGGTTTCTTGGAAATGCGCTGGCGCTCCCCCCCCTTCTGCGGCGCCTCCGGCGCCGCCCCTGGCGCGCTCCGCGCGCCAGGAGGGGGGGGGCCCAGCGCGGATCCAAGAAATCTGCGCGGAGCGCCAGAGGCTGATATTTATGGCGTTTTTTTTTTCTCCCAGTTAAGCCGCGCACCAAATGTCCCTCTTGCCTCGGGTCACTCCTGCGTGCAGCCGAATGAGAAGGGCGATGGCCTGGCGCACGCCAGACCCTCCCTGGCTCGATGCCCCGGCCGCTGCCCGTCCCATCGCCCCCTCCTGGTGGGCGGTGCCAGCCGTCGAGCGCGCGGCCCTCTGCTCGACGGTCCTTCTGCAGGCCCAGAGGAGGAGGAGGAGGAGGAGGAGGAGGAGGAGGAGGAGGAGGAGGAGGAGGAGGAGGAGGAGGAGGAGGAGGAGGGAGCAGGATGGAGGAGGATGGGGGAGGAAGGAGGAGGATCAGGGAGGGAGGAGGGAGGAGGACCTGCCCAGAGGACCCAGATACCTGACGGACCGGGCGAAGGCGAGAGCGCGCCGCGCTCCTCCGTGCCGGCGGTGCGGTCGCTCGATCCTCTCTCCTCCCACCTCCGTTCTTCGGGCCAGCTGGGCCGCGACGCCCGTCGATTGGTTCTATCGGCACGAACGAAATGGATACGGAAAGAATGGGTACGATGCCCAACAGCAGTTCCTGTTCATTTGAACAGGACTCGCTGTCCGCGCCGCCGCGGCCTGTGTCCATTTGAGACAGAAGGCCGTCTGCCCAACAGCGGCCGCTGTTGGTTTGGGACAACATTTGTTGTTGAGCAGTGTACCCATTTTTTCCGTACCCATCTCGGGCGTCCAAATTCTAGGCCTCCCAGATGGGGTCGGAGTAGATGGGGTCGGAGGATCGCGCCACATCGCCAGTGCATCGCCCATACAGCGCTGATGCGGCCCGATGTGGAGCCCGAGGTGCTCCGCGTCGACGTCGCCGACGCCTCGCCCACGTCGACGATGCATCGCACGGTGCATCGCCGAGGCATCACCGATGCATCGCTGACGCATCGCCGATGCATCGGCCAAGCGGCGCGATTCCCCGACCCCATCTGCTCCGACCCCAGCCGGGAGGCCTCTGTTCTTCCCCGCAGTGCCGTGGGTGTAGTCGGCAGGGCGCGGGCCCGGTGAGCCCTGGACCCCGGAGGCGCCGCGGTGCTTGCGCCAGCCTCCAGCGGCGCGGCGGCGAGGGCACAGCTGAAGGGGACGGGCATCAGTGCATCACTCGCCCGAGGCCCCTTTTCCGAAAGCGAGCTTCCCCAGCCAGCCCTCCCTCCTGCCTCCCTCGCCAGTTCTGACCGGACGGCGTCCCCTGAGACGCGCCGATCTCTGAATTTACCACCGACATGATTTGTTCCGAGCTATTCTGTGGTGCAGGGTCCTCGTTTTGAATTAGCAGCGCCCCTCGTCCACTCCTCCTCCTCCTCCTCCTCCTCCTCCTCTTCATCCTCGCTCCCTCCTCCACGCCCTCCCCTCCCTCCTCCCCCATCCTCTCTCCTCTTCCTCCTCCCTCTCCGCCTCCAATTTCGGCGCACCCCTCACACGTTTCGTGGCCCCATAGGGAGCCCAGACTGGGGCCCAATGCCAAAGTTCACATGAGTGCCCGCCTTTCATGTCGGCACATTCCTCACGCTTCGTGGCCCCATGAGGGGGCTCCAGCTAAGGCCCAAATGCCGCGGTTCACATCAGCTCCCGCCGCTCATTTCGGAACGCCCTTCACACGTTTCGTGGCCCCAGTAATGACCTAAACATGTCAGAGTTCACATGAGTTTATGCCGTTCATTCCGGCACACCCCTCGTACGTTTCGTGGCCCCATACTACGGAGCCCCAACCAAGGCCCAGATGCCAAGGTTCACATGAGCTCCCGTTTCTCACTTCGGGAAACCCGTCGCACGCCTCGCGGTCCCATCAGGAGCTTCAATTAAGGTCCAAATGCCACAGATCACATGCGTTCCCGCTTGTCATTTCGGCGCACCCCTCGCACATTTCGTGGCCCCATGGGGAGCCCGAACTGAGGCCCCAATGTCAAAGCTCACATGAGTTCCCGCCTGTCATTTCAGCACACCGCTCGCACGCTTCGTGGCTCTGTTGGGAGCCCCAACCAGGGCTCCAATGCCGCAGTTCCCATGAGTTCTCGCCTCGTGCGTTTCGGGCTCATAGCGAGCCCCATCTAAGGGCCAAATCCAGAGCTCCCGCGTGTCATTTCGGCAAAGTCCTCACGCGCCTCTCGTTCCGACACACCCTTCACTCGTTTGTGGCCCCACAGGGGGCCCCAGCGAAGGCCCAAATTCAGAAGTTCACATGAGTGCCCGCCTCCCATTCCCGCACATCCCTCGCACGTTTCGTGGCACCCTAGGGGGCCCCAGCGTTGGCCCAAATGTCAGGGTTCACATGAGACACCGCCTCTCGCACGTTTCGTGGCCCTATATGAGCCCAAACTACGGATCAAATGCCAAAGTTCACATGAATTCCCGAGTCTTAGGGAGTCCCAGCTAAGGCTCAAACGCCAAAGTTCACATGACTTCCCCCCTGTCGTCATGTCGGCACGTCCCTCGCACGTTCCGTGGCCCCATAAGGAGCCCGCACTGAGGCCCAAATGCCAGAGTCCACGTGAGCTCCCGCCTCTCATCTCGGCACGCCCCTCACACGTTTCGGGAATCCCAACTGAGGCCCAAATGCAACGGTGCTCGTGAGTTCCCGCTTTTGATTTCGGCACACCTTTCACCAAGTTTCGTGGCCCCATGGGAAGCTCCAGCTAAGGCCCAAATGCAAGGGTTCGCATGTGTTCCTGCTTCTCATTCCGGCTCACCCCTTACACGTTTCGTGGCCCTCACACGAGTTCCCGCTTCTCATGTCGGCACGTCCCTCACGCGTTTCATGGCCTCATAGCGAGCTCCAGGGTTCACACGAGCTCCCGTCTTTCATTTCGGCTCACCCCCACACGCTTCGTGGCCCCATTGGATGGAGCCCAAATCAAGGCCCAGATGCCAACCAGATGCCACGGTTCGCGTGAGTTCCGTTGTTCCCTACCTAGGCTCTGACTAGAGGGTTCTTACTCGCTGGCCTTAAAGGGGCCGGGCAATGGGCTTCGCCCCGGGCGGTTCCCCCGGTCCCCGCCCCGCGGTTCCCCCAGTCCCCTGGGAGCTTTAGCTTTAGCTTTAGCTTAGCTTTAGCTTAGCTTTAGCTTAGCTTTAGCTTATCTTTAGCTTAGTTTTAGCTTAGCTTTAGCTTAACTTTTGCTTAGCTTTAACTTAGCTTTAGCTTAGCGTTAGCTTAGCTTTAGCTTAGCTTTAGCTTGCTTTAGCTTAGCTTTAGCTTAGCTTTAGCTTAGCTTTAGCTTAGCTTTAGCTTAGCTTTAGCTTAGCTTTAGCTTACATATAGCTTAACTTTACCTTAGCTTTACCTTATATTCAGCTTAGCTTTAGCTTAGCTTTAGCTTAGCTTTAGCTTAGCTTTACTGCTACTACTAATGCTGCTTTCCTAGGGGCTTCAACTCCTAGGTAGGGTCGCACTGGGATGATTTTATTTCGGGACGCCTTTCACATTCTCCGTGGCCCCATGGGAGCTCCAGTTAAAAGGCCCAACGGTTGCCAGGGTTCGCAGGAGCTCCCGCTTTTCGTGTCGGCACATCCCTCACGCGCTTCGTGGTCCCATCTGGCTGGGGGGGAAGGTCAAAGTGCCAGGGTTCACGTGGGCTCCCACCTCCACTCCGGCTCACCTGGCGCACGTTTCGTGGCCCCCCAGGGGGCTCCAGCTAGGGCCCAAATGCCAGGGTTCGCACGAGTTACCGTCTACAATATCGGCACGCCCTTCACACGCGTCGTGGCCCCATATGCAGCTCCACATAAGGCCCAACTGCCAGGAATTGCATGAGTTCACTCGGGGCGACCAGCGCGCGTCGCATTGCTTCCCCATGCGCTGTGCCTCCACGATCTGCTATGCGCCTTGGAACGGGGACGACATGTGTATATCCTGCGGGCGCCTGAAAGACACGCTCTTCGAGCTCCCGCTCGCTCCCCGGCTCGCGCCCCCATCCCGCCGTGCTCTGGTTCGCCTTTGCCCACCCTCTCCGTGCCCCCAGTCCATGTTGCTAGCCCGTCCACTTTGTTCTCGCAGCTGCGTATGGTTGGGTCCTTCGCCAGGATATCGAAGACGCCTACGGCGAATCATCGCCGCCCCCTGCCCCTTTGGAAGCGCCTATGTGGCCGACAGCTGGGCTAGAGCTTTGCCAAGCTATCGGGCCAGTTGTTCCCCGAGTCGGTTTGGAAAGCCTTCGGGGAACGCGTGGGGGAGCAATAGAAGGAGGATCAGGAGAGGGAGGATGATGATTAGGAGAAGGATGAGGATGAGGATGAGGATGAGGATGATGGGGGAGGAGGAGGAGGAGGAGGAGGAGGAGGAGAAGGAGGAGGAGGAGGAGGAGTAGGAGGAGGAGACTTCTTGGGAACTGTCTTGCGAGGCCTCTTGGGAGGCCTCTGTGGAGCTTCCTGGGAGCCTTTTGGTGGCCTCTTGGCAGCCTCCCTGGGCCTCTTGGAGGCTTCTTGGGGGCCTTTGGGGGCTTATTGGGGCCTCTTTGGCCGTCTTAGGGCATTCCCGACCCGTCAGACACCGTCGGAAGCCGTCTTGGGGGCCTCTCTGAACCGACTTGGGGCTCTCTTGGGGCGCTTCAGGGCCGTCTTGGAGAGTATCTTGGACATCTTGGAGGTCGCCGTCTTGGGGGCCTCTTGGGCCGTCATGCGGCTATCTTGGAGGCCTCGTGGGCGATCTTGGGGCGACCTTGGGGGCCTCTTGGGCCGTCTTGGGCCGTCGGAAGGCCGGCAAGGCGCAAATGCCAAAACCTTGCGAACACCTAGGGACAATCAATAATGTTTGCCTCTTCGGGCCTTCCTGGAGGAACTCTTGGAGGCCTCTTGGGCCGCCTGGGAGGCCTCTGAGGAGCCTCTTGGGCCGTCTTGGGCCATCTTGAGGCCATCTTGGGCCATCTTGGAGGACATCTTGGGCCGTCGTGAAGGAATCTTGGGGCCATCTTAGCCGTCTTGGAGGCCATCTTGGCCGCCTTGGAGGCCTGTTGGGGCCCTCTGGGGGCCGTCTTGGGGGCCTCTTAGGCCGTCATGGGGCCATCTTGGAGGCCTCGTGGGCAATCTTTGGGCGATCTTGGGGGCCTCTGGGGCCGTCTTGAGCCGTCGGAATGCAGAAAATGAGCAACTGCCAAACTCCTTCAAAGACCTAGGGGAACTCAATGATTTTGGTCTCTTCGGGCCTTCCTGGAGGAACTCTTGTTGGAGGCCTGTTGGGCCGTCTGGGAGGCCTCTTAGGGGCCTCTTGGGCTGTCTTGGGCCATCTTGGGGCCATCTTGGGTCGTTTTTGGTGCATCTTGGGCCGTCTGGGAGGCATCTTTGGGCCATCAGAGCTGTCTTGGAGGCCATCTTGGCCGCCTTGGAGGCCTGTTGGGGCCCTCTTGTCTTGGGAGCTTCTTGGGCCGTCATGGGGCCAGAAAGGGAGGCCTCGTAGGTGATTTTGGAGCGATCTTTGGGGGCCTCTTGGGCCGTCTTGAGCCGTCGGACTGCCGAGAAGAAGCACATACCACAATCATTCAAACACCTACGTACATTCAATGAGTTTGGCCTCTTCGAACCTTCCTGGAGGACCTCTTGGAGGCCTCTTGGGCCCAAGACGGCCGTCTTGGAGGCTTCACGGGCGTACTTGAAGGTATCTTGGGCTCTCTTGGGCCGTCTTTGAAGCCACCTTCGACCATCTTAGGCGAACTTGTGGGCCATTTCGGGCCATCTGAGCTATCTTGGAGGCCATCTTGGAGCCGTCTGGAGCCGAAAAACCCTTTGCAGCCACCTGTTTCGCATCTCCAGCGGGACGGGCCGACCCCCAGGGGGAGTTCTTTTAGACAAGAACCAAAACCAAAAGCGAAAGGGTCTGGCACGCTGGGCACCTCTGTGATGAATCAACAGGGGGCGGCGGATCGAAGGCGCCTACGGCGAATCAATCACATCCTCCTGCAGTCCGCTGGTCTTGTCTCGGGCGGCTCTCCTTCTGGGCTGCTGTCGGGAGGCCGCCGGTTCGGGCAGGAGGCTGGGCGAGCGCTGCCAGAGCGGAGGCATCGATGAGCGATGAGACTTTCCGTCGCTTCGAGACGGGGAGGAGGGGGGATGGGGAGGAGGTGGGAGGAGGGGGAGGGGGAGGAGAACATGGATCGGGGAGGACGCGGGAGGGGGATTGGCAGGGCTCGTTTCGATTCCTCCGATTCGATTTCGATGGATTCCGATTCCGATTCGATTCGACTTGGGATTCCGATTTGGGTTCCGACTTTTCATTGGACGCATACAAGCCTGCCGATTCCGCCGATTCGACTTTTTCCGACTCGGCTGCCGCTTTCCGCCGATATGATCCATGTCCATCGCTGATCCGAGTTCTCGATTCGATTCTGGGCTATCCTGGATTGGGGACTGGGGAGGAGGAGGAGGAGGAGGATGAGGAGGAGGAGGAGGAGGAGGAGGAGAGGAGGAGGAGGAGCAGGAGCAGGAAGAGGAGGAGGAGGAGGAGGAGGAGGAGGAGGAGGAGGGAGGAGAGGAGGAGGAGGAGGAGGAGGAGGAGGAGAGGAGGAGGAGGGAGCAGAGCAGCAGGAGCAGGAGAGCAGCAGGAGCAGGAGCAGGAGCAGGAGGAGGAGGAGGAGGAGAGAGGAGGAGGAGAGGAGGAGGAGGAGGAGGAGGAGGAGGAGGAGGAGGAGGAGGGAGGAGGAGGGGGGAGGGAGGAGGGGAGGGGGGAGGGGAATAATAATGGGGAGGAGGGGGGATGGGGCAGGGGGGAGGAGGAGCAGGAGCAGGAGGAGGAGGAGGAGGAGGAGGAGGAGGAGGAGGAGGAGGAGAGGAGAAGGAGGAGGAGCATGGAGAGGGAGGGGGAGAGGAACATAACAATATTGGGGAGGGGGGAGGGGGGCGGGGGAGGCGGAGGGGGAAGGGCAAGCTAGGTGCGCTCGCGTCATATCTGACGTCCTACCCTCCCTCCCATCCCTCACCATGGCGCCGATCTCCTCCCTATTCACACAATCGAACGTCGTAGCATGGCATAACACTGCATGGCATAGCATGGTGTTGAAGATCAATGCGTAGCATGACATAGCATCGTGTGGTGACGCCCCCAAACAAGGGGGGTCCTTCGCTGGTCCAACAAATCAAACATACCGAATGTGTAATCACCTCCGATTTTTCCTTCGGGAGGCCATTTTTTAGACTTTAAGGCCTATATGGAAGGATAAAACATCATGCCGTGGTATAGCACTGGAAATAATGACGCCAGCGCTGCAGCGGGAGCAAGATTCGGAACGAGCGGAAGCGCGGAAATGAGGCCAGCGCTGCAGCGGGAGCACGACTCGGAACGAGCGGTAGCCCGAAAATGAGGCCAGTGCTTCAGCGAGAGCAGCAGTTTGCAAAATCACCCGAGCGCGGAAGTGCGGAAATGAGGACGCGTAGCCTGACATAGCATGGCGTGGCGATGCCCCAAAGTTGGGAGGGGCTTCTGCGGCGCAGGAGATCAACGAATCGACACCGAATGTATAATCACTTCGGATGGTTTTTTCGGGAGGCATTTTCTAGATGTGGGTGCCTATTTGGAAGGATCGAACACAATGCCGTGGCATGGCGCTGGAAATAATGACGCGCAGCGGGAGCACGATTCGAAACGAGCGGTAGATCGAAAATGAGGCCAGCGCTTCAGTGAGAGCAGCTTTTCGAAAAAAAACCAAAGCGAAAACCCGTTTCCCGGGAATCTTGTGTGAACTAAAAACCAGTACGCGGAGGGGGGCCGGCCATTTCCCAGACGCCACCAGGGGAGAGAGGAGAGTATTGCTCACATTGCCTAATTGTAGAAAGGGGGAGGGAGGAGGGAGCAGGGGGAGGGGGGAGGGACAGGGGGAGGGAGGAGGTGGGAGGGGGAACTCCTCCTCCCTCACCTGCTCGCCGATCGCCCGTCCGCCCGTTCTTCCTGCACCTCCGACGGAGGTCAACTCCGGGCCTCCCCTCCTGGAGACCCTGTGCTGCGACACGTTCCAGGACGCCTCGCGTGGCCAGGGAGGATGCAGGGATCTGTTCTTAAAGCGCTGGGGACGTGCTTCTTTCGCTTTCAACGCTTCGTGTTGTGGTCGGTCAAAACAGAACAGCAGCGGCAACCCAACACATAAAAAGAACGGCACCCGCGGGGCCCAACACAAGCAGAAAACGGCAACCCAAAACAGAAGCAACAAGGGCAACCCAAAACAGCTCTGCTGCCGGGCCACTGCGAAAATAGACAAAGCAGTGCAGTTTATTAAGAACATTGTAAACGACTGATCGCAAATCGAACCTGAAACTGCGAGGCGCCAATGCCAAAACGGAGAAAACAAAGGCAAACCAGCAAGAAGATGTCGACCTGGAAAACGGAGGAATCGCCCCCAGCGTTTTGAAAAGCATCCAAGGCAGGGATCGCCCCTGAAGAGCAGGGTTCCTGAGAACCTCTTCGCAATTTTCGGTCTTCCCGGGGCCCTCCCCAGGAGAAGGTGTCGCGGCTTCTCGCCACGACGGCTGCATTCTCCTCGACATTGGTGACGTTTCGTGCATCCCTGCCAGCCCATACCAAAGCAACCTTCAGGCGACTTCCCTTGTCAAGGAACCGTTGGGCCACGCGGTGGAACAAGGGCGGGGGGCAGCCGTCTTGCCGAAGCTCGGGAGCAGCCTGCGCAGACCCAGGGGGGGGGAGGCGAACGAGCAGGAGGAGGAGGAGGAGGAGGAGGAGGAGGAGGAGGGGGAGGAAGAGGAGGAGGAGGGGGAGGAGGAGGAGGAGGAGGAGGAGGAGGAGGAGGAAGGGGGAGAAGAAGGAAACATGGAAGAGGAGGAGGAGAAGCCGGAGGACGACCAGGACAAGCCAGGGATGACGAGGCTGAGGTAGAAGGATGAAGAATTGGAAGTGGAGAGTAATGATAAGGAAGAGGAGGAGGAGGGG